TCTGACTACTTAATTGTTCACCATTGCACTTATTCTCCAGTACTTTCTTTGGGTAGGAATATAATAAATGAGTAGGGGGGGAGGGCTCATTCCTTCAGACACTAAGGGACATTCTCAAAAAACTATGCATAAAGCCTTTATAATAAGCGTTTTTGGGCAGAAAAGTTAGAGACAGAATCTTATTACAGAAAAAATACTTGCAGAGACAGTAAGGAGTCACTGTAAACTCGTGCTTGGCCAGATTAAGATGCAGACTACCTGCTAAGTAACTGATATATGCCTCATTTACGGATTACAACTAACATTAACTCTCACATACTCTGTTGAGGTTAATAGGTTGTGTTACCGTGTTAATGTTAATGTAAGGTCTTACGGCTTTTCTAAGGCTGAAATAACCGCTGCTCATCATCAGCCTGCCTAATCCCCATAGGGAGGTCAACCTGGACACCGACTGCACCGCTGCAGCTACTCACTCTTCTTAAGGCCTTTTCACACCACTGTACGAAAACCACATTGACTGACAACTGCCTACCTACAAGCGGTTCCCCAAAAGAGCGCACTTTTTAAAAACAGAGTTTACAATGAAGCAAAAATCTTCGTAATAAACTAAATGTTATTAAATACCAAAGAATACCAAAAACAATAATAAGAGCAGAATAGAAGCCATGAAAATAAAATGACAATTTAAAAAACAAATAAATAGATACTAAAAAGACAATATCACACAAAGGCAAGTCTATAGAAAGTGGTTTTAAAAAGTGATTTTAAAGAAGTCGTTGATTCTGTAAACCTTATCTCCTCAGGCAGGTCGTTCCAAAGCCAAGGGTCCCTGATGGCAAATGCACAATTTAATTTTGGAACAGCCAGAAGGGCCCCACCTGAGGACCTAAAGCTGCAAACTGGCTCACAAGGGGTCAACATCTGCCATGTAGCTTGGGGCCAGATCCAGATTTGTGTGATCAGTAAAATCTTCTAAAACGAACAGGAAGCCAATGGAGAGACGCCAGGTATGGGGTGATGTGATGTTGTCTGTTAAAACCAGTAAGAAGCTGAGCTGCTGCCTTCTGAACTACTTGGTAGCAAGAGAGTGACCTTTGGTTTATGCCAGAGCGGAGGGAGTTACAGTAGTCTAATCTGGAGAAAATTAGTGCATGGATGACTTTTTCCAGGTCAAGGGGAGAAAGGATTGTTTTGATTCTAGAAACAATTCTTAAATGAAGGGAATAGGACTGGACAACTTTTTTGCTATGTGGTTTAAAGTTGAGCTCAGAATATCACAAGTTTCTGACAGCATGATTCACATTAACAGAGAAAGGACCAATGCCACTCTGAATGGGACTGATTTGGTTTGGGGGACTGAACAATATGATTTCTGATTTAGAATTGTTGAGTTGAAGCAATTTTTGTGCCATCCAACATTAAATATCTCTGAGACAATCTAGAACAGCAGCTAGGCTTCTTGGGTCTCAGGGGAAGGTATATTTGTGTGTGGTCTGCGTAACAATGAAAAGAAACATTATGTTGTTGGACGATTTGGCCAATTGGAAGCATATAGATAGATAAATATAATTGACTGACCAAAGCCAGGTGGTTACCACCAGAAGTTCAGCACGGTGAACTTTTGGCGACAGAGCAAAATCTGTATTCATACCTCTACCGGCGTGATCGAAACAGCTTTCTTTCTGCCGCCTTTGCCTCACTGAAATGACTAGAGACGGTGAGTTACCACGCAATGGTGGAAAAGCCCCTTTAACATCGACAGACTTAAATGTGGGGTCAGTCATTCTGGAGAAAGAAGTAGATGGAGAAAGACTTATTGTCAGGTCGTGAAATATCAACGCAAACATCAAAATGAGATCAAAATATTATATTATATTCTATTATTATTATATATATTACATGGGCATAAAGGAAACTGAAGCTACTAAAACACAGGTTACAAGTGTGTTAATGCGGTCTGATGTAAAAGGAGGAGCAGATAAGGACGAGTTAATCAATAGCAAAACTCAATGGACTGGTCAATTTACTTCCAGGAACGGCCGGCAGTGAGGATTCCTGGATGAGCTGCATAATGAGTCACAGCTTGTATTGACGGACTCTGAAAGCTCTGGTTTGATCCAGGGCTCCAAGGCTCTGTGAGCTAAACCTTCACACAACTGCTCCATCAATTTTAAAGGAGTGGATTCAGCAAGCAGGTGAAGAGTTGGAGGAGACTTTCAGAAAGTGCCTGCCCAACCGACACTGAATCTCTACCAGTTCTTGGTGACCTCTGACCTCCCTGAGATATGAACAAGCTTTGTAAATTTCTATGAATTAATAAGAAAACATATTCAGGGATTGGCACAGAGAGACAAATATAGTATTTTTTAAAGGTTTTAAACAATCAGTGCTGTATTTAACATGTACATAGCCTGCATGCTCAAAAGTATATTACTATACCAGTGATTCCCATGATCAGTTCAAATGAGCACATTGTGACGGGTGATATTGATGAATTCATCTGATAGGCCTTTTTGAAAAGAACCACTGCTAGAACATAAACTTCTCCAGCTTTGTCTTCATTTAATGCTTTTGATTTGTCAGCTTTATAAATCTTCTGTGTCTAAATGCTCAGCACGTACAAAAGTCTTTTATATTTAACTGGATACATTTTTTGTCCCATAAATGACAAGTGGGACTGGTTTTATACTCGAGAAGCCCAAAGTAAAACGGCTAAAATGTCCAAACATAAGCACAGTATTGCCGCTGTAATCCAGACCTGAAGGAAAGAGTCAAATAGGCTTAAAATGTGGCGGAAAAAAATAAATAAAATGTGGAGCTTTTATCTGCTAATGGTAGCCAAAATAAGTAGTTTATACTGTCATACACACACACACACACTTTGGTTTTGGGAACATTGATATTAATCACACCTCCAGGATTTAGAATTTTTGGAAGCTCTCTCACATAGACGCTCTAGTGTGGCGTAATTCATGCATGTGGCGCAATGTGGAAAGCCAGCTGATCACCTGTGTGTGCTTGTGTGTGTGTGTGTGTGTGTGTGTGCGTGCGTGTGTTATTAAAGTATAAAGTGCTTATTCCTGCTCCGTCAGAAACAGAGCTGCCGTTATTAACGAGCAACTGTGTTGTTTATTCTCTAAACCTTTAAGAAGATTGGTGTCATTTGGGCCGAGTGAGGCCATTTCCAATGTATGTGTGTGTGTGTGTGTGTGTGTGTGTGTTATGAGTGTAGTAGGCACGTGAGGTTTGCATTTTGTCATCTGCTGTAGGGTATTTATGCATACACGTGAGTGAGAAGCGCCGGGCGAGGGACATAAGAATAAATGGTGGGAAACGAAAGAGAGAGTGAGACAGTGGAAGGAGAAAGATGAAAGAAGAAGTGACAGACATTCAGAGAGAAGAAAAAATAGAAAAGTAAGGAGTGGGAAACAAAGGGAGAAAAAGTAATTAGTAGAAAAACAGAGACAGATGAGACAGAGGTTGGAGAAAATAAACAGCAGCGAGGAGAAAGGGAAAGAGAAGGGAAATGGATAGAGGGAGAGGAGGAGAAGAGAAAGGCAGCTCATGCTCCAGTGGAGGTGAAGTCATGCGAGTGCTGCAGCTTTCTCTTCAGGCTGAGCAGCACCCAGCCTGGACATAACGAACTGTCTTTAACTGCATCACCTGCCCCCACTAAAAGTGCACATTTGTTTTTACGCACTCACACTTCTGGATTACCAGACAAGCACGCACCAAAACAGTCAGACACATAAACACATGTAGAAAGACTCAGGTTTGTGCTCCTGTACTTTTATAGACCCTTGATATATTGCCGCTATATTGACATATTAATACATTACTTACAGTAACCCCTGGTGAAGACTGGACTAAATGTCCCCACTTTCCAAAAACCCCACATTCACGCACACATACATACACTCACACTGACAAACATGCACACACATATTAAACAGCAAGCTTGCATGCAAATGCACACACACATACACACTTACTCCAACTGACTTCCAGGCAAATTATGTTGCTTTCTTGATAGGTTTCATGGGGAAAATCAAGTCTTTTGTAGTTTTGTGAATACTTTTTCATGGTGTTTGGATAAAAATACAGAGTGGAGGTTTTGGGAGCAATTAAGTCTCCTCTTATATGAATGAGTCCACACGAACGCTGGAATTCAAAGCCTTCTGAAAGCTTTTAAAGACTTGTTATTGGATAAAATGTGATATTGGTCAGACGTAGACGTCTTAGAAGCTTATTTTTTTGTTACAGTGTACAGTACATAATAGCGCTCCTTTATGTGGTTAGGGTTACAGTTTGATTCATGGGATAGTTTAGCTTGGTTAAGTATCACAGAGGAAACTTGGGCTAAGGTCAGGCTTAGGTTAAGGTAAGGAGAAACAGGTTTTGGCACAACAGGTACAATTTGAACAACTTTTTTAAGGACTTTTTACAATTACTCATATAATTTCTGCAAGTCTCTGTTGTTGCTGGGAGTGTTGATGCCAATGGGGAGTTGAATAACAAGACTGATATAGTAACTACTGTGATGTTAGAGGGTCAAAGTTGCTGGTATTGGCAATCAAACTGTAGAGAGCTCTAGCCACAATTCTCCAAGTCCATTGACATATTTAAAAATCTTTCTATTCTAAAACAGTCCAAAACCCAAAGACATTCACATTACTATTACAGAAGATTACAAAAACCCTCAAATATTCACATTTGAGAAGCTGAGACTAATTCATTTTTGCCATTTTTTGCTTAAAAAGGACTTAATCAGCTTATCATCTCAGCTCTCATCAGATAATAACCACCCACAGTATTCCGAGTAAAGTGCATCTACCAAACAATTTGACATGACATGCTTCCAAAGAAAGGTTTGGTCCAAACTCGCCTTCTCTGGATTCAACTTTTGCTCTTCAAGCATGCAGCAGAAACTTTTGGCACAAAGTAAAAATCATCATTAAACCTCACACTGATCAATCTAATCAATCAACAGACAGACTAACCTGTATAGTTGCTGGTGATGCTCTGAGTTGGCGGGTCTGTCAGAGCCTCTGTCTGTACTTCTGTCTGAGCTTCTGTCTGTGCTTCCATCTGGGCTTCAGTCTGCAGGTCTGGCTGCAGCTGGAACGTCGTACCGGTCCCGTCCTCTGGCAGCGACATGGCTGCAGTGCTCTGCAAGTCCTTAGGGCTCAGTGTGGAGCCTCTAGCCAGGGCCAGCGCACAGAGCAGGGGACACAGCAGCAGCCAGAGGTGGGTGCCTGTGCTCTGAACGGTGGGTGCCACTTTCGGAGACATGGGGTCAGCTAAAGAAGAAAATGAGCTCTGTGAGAGGAAAAAAGGAAGGAGGGATTCACAGCCTCATGGTCGGGCACTTTGGCTCAACCAGAGTCTCAGTATGAGGTGGAAAGATCCTTTAGAGGAAAGTTTGTTGCTTCCCTGTCCTCCTTTTCTGTTTTCCTCCACTGCTTTTCCTCTCCTCTCCTCTCCCCTTCCCTGCTCTTCTCTTACTTCTTCCTTCTTGTCTGTCCTCTTCTTCTGTCCTCACTCCCTTGGCGGAGAGAGGAAAACCCCCTCTGTGTTGCCACTCATGATGCTGCCGTGCTGCAAGAAGGTATGACAGACACAGAGAGGAAGTGAGGGAG